ATATATTTGTTTTTTTTTTTGCTCTTAGTATTCACAGCTTCACAAAAGGTTTTTCTGTGAATTTTTTTTTTTATTGTCATTGGACAAAAATTTCTTTTAATCTGATTTCATCGCTTTAAGCTGATTTCTTGTTAATTTATTAATAAAAATTAGGGATGATTCAAGTACATTTGAGTTTATCTCGAATTATATTTTGATTTCATTATGCTCACTATAAAAACGTATGGTGATCCAAATCTGACCGAAAAATATCTGACAGTAAAATTTTCTAAATTCTGATAATTGCTTACTGATAAAATTTTGAAGTATTCGTTTTAGTTCGAGTACTTTTTTTTTTTTTTTTTTTTTTTTTTTTTTTTTTNTTTTTTTACTACAGATTTTAAGGAAATTTTCGAGGGTGACACTATTAATTTTTCATTAGGTTGTCACCTACAACTATTAAAACGTGAAATGGGCTCACCATCCTGTACATTTTCTTCTGAGCAAAAAATGATACGAAAAAATTTTTTAACATTAAAATTTGTAATAAGAAGGGAGATTTGGAGAAATTTGTCCAATAAATTTTATTTGGAATCATTTAAGAGTATACTTTTTTTTCTATTTTTTCCAATTTTGAATAAAATTCAACTTCTTTCGAACTTTTTTAGTCCCAAGATTGCTATGTATTATGTAATATACAATTGTTATGTATTATATTTTATATTATTTACAGTTCAACTAATTTCAATCTTAAATTAATCGATAAAATAATTCCTCATTTCAAATCAAATTCATGACCATAAAATTGCCGCAGAGGAAGTAACGAGACTCAAATTTGGATTCAGTAGGTCATTTTGCGTAAAAACGAGCAAGAATAATGTCAGTACTAGAAAATGAAATTTTTTGCAAATTTAAGTGCAAACGACAAAAAAATTTTTTTTTCAAAAAATATGTTACTGTCATAGTAATGAAATGATTTTATATTTTTAGTTCAAACAGAAGAAGAGCATGTAATACGTACTTGCGTATTAGAAAACATGGACAATCAGTGTGGAGTCTTCCGATTTGAAAGTGATACTTTACAAGGTTGCATTTTAACGTGTGATTATGATGGTTGCAATGCCACTAATAAACTAAATGAAAATTGGATTCTGATTTTAATCTTCTTATCTCTTTTCGCCAAATGGTATCGTTAATAATATATAATGTGTTCAAATCAGGAATATAATTTGTTCTATGCAATATTGAGCAATATTTTTTATCGTGTGTGTAATTTTACAATGTTTAAATACGGCATCTGGGTTTAACACTAGCTCGATCTTTCATTATTTTTTTCAGATTAAAGAAAAGTACTAAACTTTATCTTTCTTGAGTTATTTTAATGAAATATTGCTGAAGGAAGAAGAGAGGAGTTTAAAGGTGATTATTATGGAAACATCTTCAAATCTCATCAAGCCTTCAATCTGGGTTGGTGGTTTAGAATCTTGCTTTCCTCTGTAGTGATTTATAAGATTTCAACAATATTGTAATTTTTTTTCTTTGTTCTATATATAATTTGCTATCCTTAATATGTAAACAGTTATTACCAAGGATTCTAAAAAATATACAGGGTATTTTTGAACTGTCATCGTATGCCACTAGGAGTATCTCCCCATTATGAACTAGCTGTATGAGCGTATTTGAATCACTATTTTTATCTATCTCAGTTAAATCAAATTTATTTTTCTTTTTTTATTACCAAAAGTTGCATTCAAATAGGCTTAGAAACAACTGCTTTTTTTGTAATTTACTGACTCGACCAACTTGGAAAATTAGTGATAATGTTCGGTAAAATTTCCAGAAAGGGATAGAGCTGGTTTTAAGACCAAACGCCTCAAATTTTTCTCAAACTCTATTTAAAACTTCTCATTCCTCAAAGAAAGTTGATTGTTAAATGTTAAATATTTATTATCAAACATTTATTATCAAATATAATGAATGTGTAATGACTGTACTGTTTTATTTCTCGAATTTTTAAAATATTCTATTTAGAAATATCTATATAAGGAACTTTTTACTGCCAAGTTCTTTACAATTCAATTGGTTTTCTATGAATTTATTTCAAATGCTCAAAGTGTGAAATTATATCATTTATTCAAAAAATTATCAAAAAAGCGTACAATGTTATATTTAATGATAAGATTTATCTGTGTTTAGAATGTTCCTCGTAATATATATTTATTGTAACACTTATTTTAAAGAAAATATTTCTATTATATAATACTCATTGTTCTTCCTGTTAAAGTAAATAAAAAATTTTCTTCATTTTTATCAATTTCTGATTTCTGCTTCCATTTTTAATACAAGAATTTTTACATAATTTAATTACATAAAGCACTTTTGAATTTGAAAAAAAATAATTACTTAAATACAATGCCATTAATACAGATTTATTTGGGCTATTGTATTTTAATGATTGTAATTTTAGAAGTTTGAATAACTAAATTAGCAACTATAGTAGTTTTAACATAAAAATATTATGACAGTCGATGAACAGCCGACCCAATTTTAAGTTTATGAATACCAATGTTCAACTCCATAGCCTTGTAATTTTGTTGAATCCAATCCAGAAGACAAGAGAGCTCCAGCATTAAGTATTGGGAGAAATTTTGCCTTCGTGGAGGATTTTCTGGTTGAACTAACTGGCATTTGCGTTACAAGGAGAGGAAAATCTCGAAAACACAACATGGTTAGTCTGATGGCAAGGGGACTTTTACCAATGATACGTCTACCACTGAGGATATTTCACGTCAGCACTAAGGTCGGAGCGAGCCAGGTGCAGAATTCGCATCGACCAGTCATTGCTGGGATTCGAACCCAGTTCACCTCATTGGCAGGCAAACGAACTATCCCCTTCGCCACCACGGCTTATAGTTGTTTTAATTTTTAAAATCAAGCGATCTCGCTCGTTAAATTCTCTGTAACATGAACGTAGCAAGTTCAAATCCCACTGTAACCTTGGTTGCATCGCCGTGATATTTTTCTGCAACTTGTGCTATTAGTTTCAGGGCTTATAAGCTGCACATTGCAATGAGCACACAAGCCTGCGTATGTATGCGTAACAATAAGTAAATAAATAAACATATTCAAACTTGTGGGCTAATTACAGATATAGCTTATCAGCGCTTGTCAATTTGAAAAGCAGATTGTACAAGTTGGAGAAGGACATCACAAACATAGCTCCTGTTTTCTGGTGGGATCCGAATACGTTAACTCCATGGTATAGGACGTTTCATGGAACGGTAAAACGGTAATGTAGCTGGCTTTATTTACTTTGGGAACTAAGTCGTTGAAGAGTTTGAGATTTGGTTTAATAATTTTTCTTTTAGTTTTACCTTTGAAAGGCTTTCTAATAATCAGGAGAGAGGATTCGGAAGCATTGATAGCGATCTTCCTCTTCGCGCACTATTATTCGATAGAAGGAATAATTTCGGTGATGTTGCTAACAGCTTTATTTGGATTGAGAGATTTTATTAGGATGGCCATGTCATCCTCATAGAATGCTGAAGAAATATTATTTATATTATCAAATTTAGGAAAGCCGGATGAATTGATTAGGTATGGCACAGGTTCCAGATCGAGCCCTGTGGTACAAACGTCTTGATAATTCTGCTTGTTGAGGTAGCATTATTAATTTTAATATGAAAAGTTCTGTTGTTGAGATAGTTGTCTAATAAACGAATAAGATTGCATAGGATATTTTTAATATAAAGCTAATAGATGAGGCCCTGGTGCCAGACGTGGTCAAAAGCTTTGGTCACTTCTAGCATCAGGAGAGCAGTAAATTCTTTTTTGAAGAATCCCTGAGTAATACTCTCAATGATTCTAACTAGTTGCTTTGCAGTAGAAAGCCTTACTCTGAAGCCAAACTGTTCGTCTGCTAGAAATCCGAGAAAACGTTTCAGTCTTTGAAGAATAGCGTTTTCGTAAATTTTTCTGTAAGGAGGCTGATAGGCCAATAACTTTCCGGGTTTAATAGATTTTTTCCATGCTTCAGGAAAAGAATTATCAGAGCATGTTTCCATTTTTGACGGAAGTAATGAATTTTGATACACGCGCTTGATCTCTTTGAGTTGATCAATGATGTTGGATCGGGAGATTTTTAAGCATAACATTATTTATTTCATCCGTCCCAGGGGCCTTGTTCTTAAGAAATTTGGTAATTATATTGCTTATTTCTTCCAGAGTGAAAGGTTCTAAGGTGTCTTGGTGATTGTCCGAAGAACGAAACTTGTTATAGTAATCTAGGATTTCCATCTCAGTAGTTTTGTCATAAGGTTTGTCGTTAGGTAAAAATTGATTTTCCATAGCATCTGCGAAAATTTCAAATTTGTCGATAACGGAGTAGGTCTTTCTCCTTTGTCTGATCAAGGGCATGTTAGTTGTTCTAAACCCTTTGAGTGAACGCACCATGTTCTATACTGACTTGTCCTGTATTGTAAGTCCCCTATATCTTTTGTGTATGTCCCCTATATCTTTTTTAAATTCATCAATTTGTCTTTTGATACATTTGATGAAGTTATTGACTTGGATTTTAATAGTTGGATGGCGAGTCCCTTCTATTCTTTACTGAGTTCTTTCTTCATTTTAATTTGGCATTTAATAAATTGACAACACTTGATGATCGAAGCTTTTTAGCTGTTTTGCTTTCAATATCAACTTTCTCCACAACTAAACAAGAGAAGAGGTTTAACCGGTAAAATTACATAATGATTGTTCTTGTATCAGAAAGGAAATCTAGAGAATTAGAAATAGTTTTTAATACTACGCCCTCACCGTGTAAGATTTACTTCTTAAAGTATTCGTCACATTTCTAGTTAATTTTATTTAGATCTAAACAAAATTAAATTGTAACTTTTTGCAATATTTTTCAAACGTGTTTGCAATTAAATCATATCTGATTTAATTGCAAACAAACAATTTTGCAATTAAATCATCTCTTATTTTAGAACACTATAAAAATTCAGAAGTCTCAGTTGAATCTTAGATGAGTCAAAAGATTTTATTCATGGATGCTTTCTCGGTGAAATAAATACTACCTAGATTTCCTCAAAGACAGCACTTTTGGACATGATTTGTGCTTTCTCACTTTAACATTAGTTTGGTGAGGATTCGGTTGATAACTATTTACCACATTTAATTTGAGTATATTTGGAAAGGAAGACTAAATTATTATAGTTTTTGTTAGTCTGATTGAATAAAGTAAATGGTAAGGAGTGCTAGGTGTGTACTTTTATCACTAATTACTTTTATTGTAATGCTTTTGATACTACGGGCACTGCAATGAAATTAATTTCTGTAATAGTAATAATTATAATCAGACAATTTTCAGAAATACAATTATGCATTCAAAATTCTTGTTTTTATGAGACATGGAAGATGACTCGTTATCTACAATCAAAAACTTTCATTGAATGATACTCTTAAATTTCGATATTTGTGTTAAAACACAGTTAAAAGGCAAGTTTTAAATATAGAACTAGTAATTAATTTAATTTCTTATCTGAATAATAACTATTCACCTGTATGACGATGAATGGTGAAAAAAAGTGTGATTGTACATTTATAGCCACATTAGGGGGCAGCTATAGCTTCAGGTAGAAACTGATATTAACCATATAGTCCATTTACATTTCTTAAAGGATATAATTAGCATTTCAGCGAACTCAAAAAAAAATAATCAACTTTTCATGCGGAGAGAGCTCAATTCAGCTAGTATTTTATATATATATATATATAATGTTTGTATTTTATTTATATAAGGGTCTGTTNTATGTATGTATGTATGTATGTATGTATGTATGTATGTATGTATGTATGTATGTATGTATGTATGTATGTATGTATGTATGTATGTATGTATGTATGTATGTATGTATGTATGTATGTATGTATGTATGTATGTATGTATGTATGTATGTATGTATGTATGTATGTATGTAAAATGCGGATCAAATTGAGGTAAAAATACTGACACTCTGGGTGCCGGAATTTTTTACTGTAAAATCCATTTTTACCGGAACATGTTTAAGAACAAAAATCTGATATACCGTAATTAGTGTAAAACACTGAATCACTCAATCAAATAAATATTACTGTAAAATTTACGGTATTATATTTACGGTAAAAATGGATTTTAAGAAAGATGTACCCAAAGCTCCTGTAGTTTCTACCTGAATTTTTTTACAGTATAGAGAGGAGAGCAATCTCATTTTTGAAATGCTTCTTTCCATCATAATTCAGAGTCATCTCCTCACTTGAGACGTTATGTCCACTCCTCTTTTTCTTGCCTTGATGGATCAGACTTAGTAATGTTATGGAATAACCGCATAGGAGTAGATGTAATAAGTGCACATATTTTTTATCTGTGTCCCAATTTTTACAGTAATAATTATCGTAAAAACACTTAATTACTCTAATTAAAAAAATATTACTGCAAAAATTATCGCATAATATTTTACGGTAAAATGGAATTCACTGTAAAAAGATTTTTGGGATGATTCCCCCAAAGTGCTGGTACTTTATACCGCAATTTCTTCCTGTATATTTTACAAGGTAGAACAACCTAATTTTAAATGCTATTCTAGTATTTCAATGACTCAGTGTCATCCTCTAACGTGAAACGTTATGCTTTATTCATAACTTCATGGATTAGTAGGGTCATGGAATTACCGTATAGGAGTAAATGTTATAAGTGTATAAATGTTTAATTTATGTCAATGGAATAAAAATGTAGTTCAAAATAAAGTCACACAAAGACATTTCAAAGTGATGAATACGAAAATTTAATTTAGTTTAGTAGAATAACTGTAATAATCGATGTAGTAGCATGCATTATTGATATGATGTTTATAACATAATAATCATAATTATTAAAACATATCATTAACATACTTTTTAAAATGTAAGCGTATAACAAACTTCTGAAGAGAACAGCCAAAAAAGCTGCTTTAACAGATGCAGCAACCTCAGTTGCGTTATATATAATCTGAATGAAAAAAATGTAACATGATATGATACTGTAATCACCATGAGCTTAAAGTGTATTCACAGTTAAAAGTTAAATTTCATATTTATCATTTTTGGCTTTCCTATACTTACTCTTAATGTTTCAGAATGCTCAAGGTGCAATTCTTAGCTCTTGAATCAACCAGTTTTACAAAATGTAAATCTTTAAAACACAACAATGATGTTAAAAATCATTTTTATATATATAAAAATCTACCTATCATGAGTGTGTAAATAAAACATTTTCATTTTAATTAACACAAGCTAGAAGAATATCTATGTATTTCACATTAAATCATAATATACAGAGTTAAATTAAGACTTCTTCGAATGTTAAAGAACAGGTATATTTTACATTAGCATTCTTAAAAACAAATATGTTAAAATTAGTTTTCAAAGATAATTGCAAAATTGTTATTTTGAAGCATCAATATTTGCAACACAAAAGCTTAACAATGATAAAATAATATCGAAAAATTCAATGTTCCGAATAACGTTTTATCAAAACAATTTATTTATTTTCCCTCTATTTAGCCCTCTGAACGTTAATTCCAGCTTTTTCCAAACTATCAGATGCAAGCTTTTCCTTATCGAAAAACCGATTTCCTCATGTTATTGAATGGTAAAATAATGCATAACAGGCAAATTCCTATACAAGTTTATCCTGAAGCTCAACGCCTGGAGGGTTAAAGTAGTGTGTTCTTAATGTTTTCGCAATATAGTTTTAAAAAATTATTTAACATAAATTTGTTAATTATTTTATAATCCTTCGATTTGTCAAGTTTTTCATTTTGCTATGAAAAATGCTAGATATTAAAATTATGTCTTTTCATGCAAAGAAGTTGAAAGTAAACTACATTTTTGGACATTATTTTTGGATAATAATTATCTAGTATTTAAATGGTAATTACATAAATACCGCATAAATACCAACCTTATTCTCATAAGGAATTAAATAAACTAGATTTTAGAAAGATAATCTCCATAAATAATAATAGGGTTTGACAAATCCAAGAATTCTGTAAATTAAAAAACATTCCTGTACATGAAATTAAAATATTTTTTAAGTTTAGCAAGCAATGTTTATAGTAGAAAGGCCTTGAAGCTATTCCAGCTGATTTTTATTCAAAATCACCTCTTGAATCTCAATATGACCTCAATTTTTTTCTAGCATTCATTATGTTCTGCATTGATTTTCAATTGATTACAACTTCTTTCCACCCCTAATAATTCTAAACACTAAAAATATGTCACCATAATTTTGTGGAGAAGGATTCTACAACAAGGGAGAGAGATTCAGAAGCCCTTGTTAGAATGTTTAGAAAGGATTATTACATTTCATATTTTATATTATTTATTATAAATTTAACCTTCATTTTTAAATTAATGCCTAAAATAATCTTTTCCCATATCCAAGTCCTACTTTTGGTCATAAAATTACAGAAAAATTATCATGGGTGGAAATTTTCTCAAAAATCGGAGGGTTGAGGAAAAAAGTGGGTGACATATTCGGATTCAGAAGATTATTTTTTTATTAAAATCAACAGGAATGCTGCCAGGACTGATATTCATGCAAAGCAGTGTCATTAGCATTAAAATAGTTTTTCTTTATTCAAATTCTGAGTACGAAAATATTTAGGACACACATCATTTTTTTAACAAAATAAAGTAGGGAAAGATTCTTAACAAACATCATCATTTGGAAAGTATATTGTAAAAAATTATTTAAATAAACATAAAGAAACGCCAACATTTTTTAGCAAAATAAAGTACTAAAAGATTCTTAACAAACATCATTATTTTGAAAGCATATTGTAAAAAATAATTTAAATAAATGTAATAAAAACGCCAACATAAATAAAATATCAAGATTCATAACAAGCAATTTCAGTTTGAAAATATATTGTAAACAGTATTATATATAGCATTTATAATAAAACATCAGACATCATCAATTTTAGGAATTTCTTTATAACTTTCATGAAATTTTAAGGCTAATTTTAACGTATTTCTAAACTAAGTTTAAATGTAAAGCTACCCTGAACTTTAACGTTAAAGGAAGATAGTCTTAATAAATAAGATATTAATTTTTATTTCTTTCCCTAACTTTGATACAAAAGTAATAATACTATCTAGAGAAAAAACTCGAATTTTTCTCAAACTAAATTCCTTCCATTTCTATAACTCAAGTGATCAATCTTTATATGAACGTTGATATAGTAATATTTACTATGTATATCTCACTGTTTATTCAAGAAAATATGAAGCTTTGTGAAAAGATAATTTACAGTTTTTTTCGTATTTTTCTTTGAAGTATGATAAAAAGATTAATATCCTTTTTTTCAGATTACTATTGTGTTTCATCTTCTATTTTCTCTTTTAATACTAGCAAACAGTATCTTGATATACAGAAGTATATAAAAAGGGGGAAAAGAAAATAGAGGAAAAATTGTTTTCTTCATTTAATCTCTAGTGTTATAATACTAAGTCACAAAATGTCTGCATAGAAACAGTGGTCTTATGAATTGGTAACATTACCAAGATCATTGTTCAAAACAATGAACAAGACCGTTTATCTGGAGTGAGTGACGCAACTTTGTTCTTTTGGCATTTTTTTCCGGAACCAATTTATTGTTTGATGAATTCCAGATGCTGAAGTCCTGAGTGATGATAAACAGTAAAAGTGCTCAAGAAGTTGACACTGTGAAACAGGATATAAAATATTCTTGAAGGAAAGTCAATGAGAATTAGTTCTAATAAACAGGCACTCTTCCCATTAGAAAATGACGGTTTTCTGTGCTTTGACTTCATTGTTAAACTGCTTTCATTAGGCAGCAGCACAAATGGCACTTTGAATCAACAAATCTGTACTAGAAAAGACTAAGAAATGCTGTAGTCAGCCGAAACTATCTACTGATATCATGGAATTTTGTGGCACGCTAGCTGGAAGGTTGATCAATGAAGAATGATGAAAGAGTTTATACCAACTGATCACAAAATTTGATAAGTCTAACTCATCGAGCATTATTTGAGCTACTCCCATAAATACTTTTTTCTCAATTCTTCCATAATCACCCCATACTGTAACCTGAAAAGCAATTAAAGGAGTTAAAGAGAAACATGGAAGAGTTGAATTTGTCTAATTTTAAAAAATATATTTTCTATTTTTTAGTATAAAAATGTTAACATTTGTTAAGAGCCTAAAATATATGCTATATGTTAACATTATTATTACTTTTTTATACGTAAAGTTCATTTTTTACTGATGGTCACACTAGGAAACAAATTCTTTGTCACATTTATACAAATACTTGACCTTGAACGTGGGAATTTCAAATCTGAAATTATTTTTGCTCCTAAAGCTACAGTTTTTCTTTATTTGTTTAAAGATTACATTTTTAGTCCATTTTTTGCCGAAATGTGCTAGTTTAAGAACGTCATACATAGCGAGGGGTCACTTAAATGCTGCAGAAAACTTGGAGGGAAGTTTGACCATATCATCAAGATAAAAATTATCTGGAACCCATGACCGGAAATATCACCGCACGCGGCTAGGAGCTCTTTCCTATCTTTACCTGTTCAGAAGCACATTAAGAAACAGTTCTTAATATGGAACCCACCCTAGCGGTTTATGATGACGTTTCCGTCCATGGGTTCCTATACAATTTCAATCTTGATTGTGTGTCCTAACTCTCCTAGAAGTTTATCGCCATATTTATGCAACTCCCAGTCATGTATAACGCTTTCAGATTTGCATACATCGATAAAAATAGCCTAAAAATTCTATTAAGAAAACTGTAGCTAGGAAAGATAAACTGGTTGCAGATTTGAAATCAGCGATACGAACGTGTGTAGGAATGGTTGAAAAAATCTCATGCAAGAAAAATAAAGTAAATTGCTCTTCAGTGTTATTCAATTATATAAAAAAATATTCAAAACCATTTTGCTTGAGAGTGATTTGACCCACTGTGAGGAAAGTTTCACCCATGCGAAATTTAAAAAAAATGTTAAAACCTTTAAGTTATAATTAAATCTTTGAAAAGAAATGCTACAGCTAATTATTCTGACTGTCAAATACTGATGACTAAGTAGCAAATCTGTATTGAAACTTCTAAATGTATAAATAAAGACTGAACTATCTGAAGACAATTCGATTATTTATTTATTTTTTGTTTGTTTGTTCTTGGTTTTCTACTAATTTTGAAAAGTTTACTATGGTTTTTTTTATTTAGTGTGTCTACTGGTTTTCCTCTTTGATAGAGGTATATTTCAAAATCCTGGACTTGGTAAGAGGAGAAAAACATTCCTTATTTTTGTTGATCATTTCTTTTCATTTAAGAGAAAAAATTTCATTTTAGGAAAATTAGCCGCAACACAATTAAAAGGATTACTGTGAGATTGTGATAAGTTACAAAGTTTTTCAAGTAATTAGGCAAAAGTAGAAAAATTAACTACTAATATAAGTCGAACTTTTCTTGTAAAGGGACACAACACGTTTCCTGCTTAATGACAAGCTAAATTAAAATGGCCATAAGAAGTAAAAATTAAGTGATTAGTTCTTCAAATTATGTTTGTGTTTCAGTTAAATAGCGAAACTGAGTCAACATTAGATGACTCAGTTTCTTTTAAATACGATTCCCTATACATTTTTGTAAAAGCTTTATATAAACACTGACAAAAGTTAGCGCTTACTAACTAAAGTGCCCAATTTTGGACAGCTATACTGTTAGCTGAGCTAATACAGCATGAAGAAAATGAATTTTTTTAAAGTTTCTAGATGTTTACAAATATAAATAACAGAATGCGGTGTCAATAAAATGAATTACTTTTAAGAATTGCAACAATAGACAAATTATATTTTCCAGTGTAAAAGAATTTTTTTTATTATAAAAATTTAATGGTGCTTGTTCATGTCCAAGTCTAAAGACTGAAACAGCGCTATAGTTTTTACAGAAAGCAGATTAAATGAAATACTAATTAAGTACTTATTTTTCATCCTCAAAATAATTTTTAATTATTTTACAGTATTTTTTATGTTCTTATTAAATATTTCTGCTGCAAAATGCCATTTTCTTACACATAAAATAGCAAAACAATCGTAACATCGAATTACCCCCCCCCCATAAATTTACTTTTTAAGGTATTTTGATGTCCTTGGATGCCACAGAAATAAACCATTATCGTGTTATTTTTTAAAATAAAAGGTATTTTACGTAAGTAGTGAATATTTAGTGTATATCAATGAAATAATTTAGAATTAATTATAGTTAATATTATTTTACCCACCGTTTGAAAGGTTCTCATATAGTTATGTAAAAAAAAGTTTGCAAGTATTAATCAGAACCCTATTACTAATTAATTATACATTAGATTATTAACAAATTAATTTTTTATCAAGGAAATGAAAAGAAATCTAAATCGAACGAATTATTACTGTGGAAGTTGGGACTGAAGGCATGAAACTTGATTCCTGGAGATAGCAGAAGGATTTTAAAGGCAATTATTGGAAACACCTCAAAGCTTCGTTAAGCAATAAAACGAGCTTTGATGTTTTCTTTCCCTCCTTCCTAGATAATGATTAGATAGATTTTGATTGCATGTTTGTTTTTACTTCTCTAAAATTTTAACTGTGACGCATGTGCATAATTTTTTGACAAGGATTCAAAAAATTTATATTAAGGGTGGTCATTACGGAACACAATGTATATTTTTATCCGTCTATTCTGTATATTAGTCTACTATCGGAAAACAAATACTGAAACATCAACAAAAAATTTATCGGAATTTACTAATTTTTTGAAACACAATTCTTTTTAGAGTGATAAATTTTTTTTAGCTCATTCACACAATGGCCTTAAATTAATGTAGGGTTACAATTGCTGAAAATAACATTCTTACTTGTAATATACAGTTTCTGTAGTCCTCTTGGAAAACTAATTGCTGTTGGTATAAAGGATCAAGCGTTTTTCTTGCACTTGCAGTTTTTCGTTTTGCAACACACTTCCTGCCTTTAACAAGATAAACCTTGACATATGGTGCTAAAGTTAGAATGAAATGTTGTTAGAGAAATGTTTTAAGCTTAAATTTTAAAATGAATGCAAAGCAATTTAGAGATTTTAGTTTTGAATTAATTTAATACCACGCATATCTATTTCGATATTGTCGTATACTGTCGTGCAATTGAAAAATCAACGTAAGCGACAAAAAATTCAAAATTGAGATTTTTATATATTTTGTATATTATTATGGTAAGCTACATATTGCAAAATAAAATTTTTTTCTAAAGTAAATTTTGTTTTATCAGTTTTTTGAAATTCTATTTTGGCGTTCATAGCATTAGCAATATAAGGAAAATAGTTGTCAAGCCACTTTTCACGGAATTAATCACATTGTTATTATCAATTTCACGGTAGTATACCATACCATTTTTAATTAATACGGTGCACAATAGACCTTTAAAATAACATGAAAATAACACCAATCGTATCATTAATCCTTCATATAAAACACAACTTTTTTTAAATTCTTCCTGGGGATATGAAATGGAATTTGTTACATATTTTTAAAAATTGAATCCATGCTTTGAATTTTTCTTTGAATGCTGTGAAATTAACGGCAAATGAAAACTTTCATGAGATAAGCTATGTGACTTATTAAATGCGATTTTAAATGACACCATGAAATAGTGTCATTTAAAATCGCACACAAAGTAAAAATTTGTATACTGTACGATTTGAAATATTTTTCAATTGTTAATTTGTGTTATAATGAAAAAATGGATAAATATTAAAAATTATCCTATACGTGGGATTATTTTTAAATAAACAGGTTCTTTTGTTGTTGTTAATACTTTGTTGATATTTTGAAGATCAAAAATCTAACGAAAAAGCGCATTTTTGTGTCTGATTCCACAGTTTAATAAAAAGTTAGCTTTGATTTAATTAGCATATTTGAAATCAACATTTTAAACCATTAAAATTGGTGCTTACTACTTGAAAGGCTGATCATTATAACAAAAGTTATACTGGATATTTTTTTTACTCACTGTTGAGTTTTAAAATGAGGTAGTTTCTTAATTTACAGTAGTTTCTTGGATAAAAGAGATAGTGGATTCAACCGTAACAATTTAAAAGACGATAGTAAAAAAGACGACAGTAAACGAATTTTTGCAGAAGACGAGAAGATTTGAAGATGACAGTAGAAAAACAGAAGCCTTTTATTCGCTGTTGTGCTAGCATGGATATAATTTGAAAAAAATTACTCTGCTCGATTTTTTAAGTTTGTCCTTAAAGTGTATTATTTTTAGTCAAATGCGAGAGAATACTTTATTTACTTTATAAATTTATTTTTTGCCACAAAAGTGATCAAGCCATGGTATAAGATTATAATAATTAGAGCTTACGTATTAATGTGTTATGCTACTATGTTATGATACTATCCCTTATTAGAACATCATTTCTAGATTTTGTAGACTTGTTAACATTTTTGCTTAAGATAACACTGTGGTGCTATTGTGTTTTGCTCAATTGGCCGATATTTAATGATTTAGAAAGGTCACATGTACAATAGATATAATAATAATGAACTTTTTCGAAATTACGTTCTAATCCTAATTTTTTTTTTTCAAAAGTCTCATGTTAGGAACCTTTTCCCTTCAAACTCGTAATTTACAGGTAAGGTGGACCAGTTTATTTTGTTTATATATTTATGAAGTACCAAGTATAATGTAAAAGCACAAAATTTTGTTTAATTTTCTCGAAAAAGAGTACCTTTTAGTTTTCCAACATTTCACTATTTCATTTTTTATGTAAAACTGCTTCTCCTTTATAGCAGATGGTAAAGGAGAAAACTACTTTTACAGCATTTAAAATGTATTACAGCGCATTGAAAAAAAGTATTAACTATCATTAACTAAGAATACGAAAGAAGATCAATAAGTGTTATTTTCTGAAATTAGATATTTTAAAGCTAATATATTTTGCATTTATTCTCATAATGATTTTTAAAGCAATAATTTAAGAAGAAACTGCACGTTTATCCCTGTTATTTAATCAAAACTTAATATGTACTGTATAGTAAAAAAAGTAACATGTGCATTATTAATTAAAAATTTAACGTTTGGTTCTACACTAGTACAATTTTATTAATAAAACAAAATATATTTCAGTACTATTGGGAGAATAGCTCTAGATATATTATATAATTATTTGATTGTAGCTATAAAAAATAATTATGTATTTTAGTAAAAAGTACAACAATAGTTTTCATGTTACATACCTGGAACTACCTTTCCTGATTTGGGCTGAAGCCCTCTTGCTCGTATTACTTCAACTTCTAAATTGCCTTTTCTATCAGCAAGACTTAGTTGGATATCACCTAAGCTTGGTGATGCCAAAACTTGCCTTCCAACAAGTTGACCAGCACCTAAACCTTCAACAAAGTTCGAAAATTCACCTTCAGGCACCAGCCTGATTGACGGTAACCACCTGTTAAAAAATATTATTATATGGTATTATTTATGTAGCAAATTTTGTGTGGTAACATAACTTATTTCAAACATATGTTCAAAATATAAGCCCTTTAGAAAATCCTCTTCCTCTCAAACACTTGTTTATAACAACATTTGCTTGAAAGGGAGTGAATGGGAGCACTTATATAATATGCAATTCTACTAAATTATAAGCCTGTTCAAATTTCACCCTGCAAAGAATATTAAGGCAGAGACATGCACAAAAAGTTTTCTGGATTTAGTTCGGTTTTCAAGAAATTTGTTATTGTTTGCTCTGAGTTACTCCTCCATAATTGTTTGCTTACAAAAACTTAAACTCGAAGTATTTAAATATATTCATTATTTAACAAACTTTTAAAAAATGGGCATTAATAAATTACTGACATCTGCCCTCCACCTTATTTTATTGTTAAGTGAATCCTTCTACCAATATTTTTAACATTTACAAAACTATATTTTTTATTGAAGTAAAGAAGAAATATTTTTTTAAAATTTCTTTATCATAAATGACAATGAAATATTCAACTTTAAAATTCCTGGTGTGATTTTTCACTTCTAAATTTGAAAATATATGATGATATGATAGCTAATAAAACATACATACTATCCCGTTTAACGAATCCCTACAAAAAAATTCAAATAAGAGATGATGCTATAATTTATTTTTGAAGGGGGAACAAGTAAATATGTGCGAATTTAAACAGAAGAACATCATTGTGCATATGAGTAAAATTATTATTCAAGTTCATTGGCTTCAGAAGTTTTCAGTATAATTTTAGAACCAAACTGCGTTATATAATAAGCCTGAATTATATAATTGTTAATCAAACTATTCTACCTTGTTTCTACATGTTTCTTGGCTAACTAAAAATTGTTCGAAGCCTAGGAAAGCATTTTGTTTAAAACTCTACGTGGTTGCCTAAATTGAGCTTCATGTGGGGCACAAAATAATACCGGTACGATTTGGGAACAACTTATCGATTTCAACTACAGAACAAGTTGTTCTTCAAGGAACTACTAAAGATAGTTCCAAAACTACTGAAGAAGGGTTAGGAACTATTCTTAGACTAACTATCAAAAATGCCAGTTTTCTCACTTTGCAGGTGGGTCCCCGAAAATTGAGAACTTGTTAAAGAAATTAACTACTCTGGTGCGTGGTTCATCACTTTATAAGCCTTTAATTAAACGGAATTTTTATCTTTTGCTAAAAAACCACATTCTGGGTGGAAATTACTCGGAAAGATGCAAAATGATTTCAGCAAGTTCAGAGACATTTAGTCTCGCAATAAACTAGGAACAGAAAATAACTTAAAAACATTCCAAGTCATAAACCTCCTGGTGATGCAAGTAATGATCTGTCAGCTAGTTATTAGGCAAACCAATTTGTAGAAACAAGATGTTTCGTGAACAGCGCTTTGATGTTTTTGTAAATTTAAAGTTAGTTTTTTCGAAATCATTAATGGGTTTTTTAGCATGTTACTTCACAGACAGAGAACACTTCATGGCGTTTAAAGGAAACTTCTGTCAAGTATCCACTGTTATGGAAAAAAATTATAAAAATCCACAACGTTGTTAGCAGTCTTAAAAAGGTAATATTCCAAGATATTTTATTCACTTTCACTTAAAATATAATCATTTTTTAATCTGTCATAATACTCCTCTATATATAATTTAAATAAAGTCACACCCATGTGTTATTACCAAAAATATTCTATATTTAAGACTTTAAACCATTTAGTCCAACTTGAAACAATAACAGCTTTACATTTTGGCTAATTGATGTATTTCAAATTCAAAATTATAATTCTTAATTGCGCCTTGCACCAAAATCTAATCATAACCGGACTTTCATGGAGCCATTTCACACTACTAAGCCAATTTTTAAGACGAATGACAACTTGGCTGAAAACATTTTTGTAAAGATTATTTTAAGATTCAATTTCCATTACCTCCAAACTCTGTCTCTGATCAAAATAGAATGAAAGAAGATGATATTATATTTAACTAATTTATCAATTTCTGTTTAAGAAAAAAATTATTTCCTTACTATAATCTTTTAATATTTTATCACTACATAGAGCTTTACATCACTATATATATGGCCATTCAATAAACCGAAAAACATTTTTTTTTGTTTTCGCTGTCGATACGATAGATTTTGCAATAAAAGGCATTCAATAACGGACTTGATTGAGGGATAAAATTTCCCTTAAAAACTATTAAGTGTTGCTCCTTGATAAGTTCTCAATTTAAACACAAAATTAAGACATCCCCGTTACATTAAACATTTGCACTCGACATTTTTTTGATTCATATTAAAATCAATTCAAATAAAAGTAACATGATAATAATAGTGCAGAGATAGCAATAATAATAGACCCCATGAGCTCAGGTTAAAAGAATAAAGGCTGAATTATTAGAAAGACTAAATTATCTATTCAATCATTGATATTTCTTTAAAAAATGTATTAAAATTTGACTTATAAAATTGAAAGATTTGTACGCATTATCTGACTTACACTGAGCTATCGCCACTTAAACTTCCTTCGCCATCTGAGGAAACACTACTAGCTTGTTTAACAAGATGTCGACATTCCAATGGGGCTACTTCTTCGCTTCGGTGGACGTTGATGGTTGATGATTTCTTCCGACGAAAGCCCATTCTTTTCTTGTGGCCTACAAAAATAAACAGAGTTAAGAACTTTTCTTTAAATAATTTTGATATTAGGCAATCTTATTCCAGTTATATTAAGTGATTTGTCCCTCAAATTAGATAGGGGTCGTAGCAACTACTTTTAAGTATGTGAAGAGTATTACGGCTAATAATTAAAACCGGACCTGGCTATCCGCTAAACCCAATACGAATCGAGAAAGGGCTCGTGATTTCAGAGGAGAAACAAAAGGTCATTAAAATTATTACTATTTCTAATATTTTTTCAAATTTTCTTTTAAAATGAAAAGAAAAATCTTCCCAAGAAAGCAGTATTTGTTTTCCACTTTCTTCGCATCATGATAAAACCAAGCATCCCCCCAAAACAGCACTAATTAGAAATACAGCTTAAAAATACTCTGACAAAAGACAATAATGGCACTTTTTTATGGTCACGTATGCTTTGAGTCCTTAACTATTTTTATTCACTCATACCTTCGTTTCCTTGCTTTATGTTCAGCTTTAATGTATGTAACTTTAATATGTAGAACAGAAAAAAAATAACATTCAACAGCCTGCTTTCAGAATTTCTAAAAATGCCTTGATTAATTAAAAAAAAATTGCTAAAAACTATTGGATAAAAAAAAATCGTTAAAAGAAAGCAGATCAAGAGGTGTTTTTTTTTCATGCAGACTGTACTTATTTGAAGAATGTACTTATTTAGTAGAATAATTTCCATATATTTAGTGAGGGGCACAGAAAACTTGTAAGGGACTTATATTTGTCTTGGTTGGTCCTTGTAAAAAATATGTATGTTATAAATATGTCTTCTTGCTCGTTTGGGGAGGGTTGTTCAGTATTAAAACACTTCTGTATTGGCAAGTTTAAAAGTTGTTTGTTCTTTCTTCTGATTGGTTCTCTAATATCAGTGATATAATTAAAACATCTCTGATCTCTAAATTAAAAGTAATGATCATAACTGATGTTTTTAATTTGTGAACACAGGATCAAATCTTTTGTTTACATTTTTATTGGGTGAACATCGATATTGTCATTTACATTCTTATAAAACTCGTTGCTAACAATGAGCAATACGAGCACCGTTGCTCGTTGCTTTGAAACCATGAGAATAACGACGAGATGTCAGAACTGTATTAATATCCTGTGATTATGATTTGGTTTATAAGATGAAGCAACCAATAGTTTTCACTACAAATCAGTTAGCAGTAGCTGTACATGAACATTTGAAACCAAACTGTTCAAACATGTAACAACAATACTGCTTCAGAACTACCTGACTGATAAAACATTTTTATCAAATTTAATAAATTAATTAAATAAATATTTGATCTTAATTATTTTTAAGGCATAAATCTGAGTAGACATTTAAATGATATATATGCTATATTGGGATTAATTTTTAGTTTTAAGATTGTCTATAACATATGATTCTATGGAGTTTGTGTCTATGGCTGGGGTCTAATGACGTACTGCATTCTCTTATTGAAAAACGATATCCTATTTAGGAAATTTGGCACCTTTCACCAATAGGAATTTTTTTTATTCATTTAAGCCCTAAACTATCTTTAGAATCATTTAATCAGCTAAGTGGTTTGAAACAATTGATAACCCACGACAACTGTTACCACTAGCGGGGATTTTCTAACTTCTACTTGTCGTTATGAATGACGTGCCTTACCAGTTACACTTAGCTGGGACGTGCTGTTACTTCTTTTGGCAGATAGACCCCCGAATTGAGTGATCTTACCACCAGTACTTGTTCCTTGTTGTCCTTGTTTGGTCGATTTCTCAGAAGTTCCAGCAAGAGCTGTATCAGATAGGCTACCGTTGTTGGTCTTTTCGTTCTGAGCCCCATCACTGTTACTTCTATTTAGAGAACCTCGAGACGGCCTGGGAGGATGAACTGGTCCATATCCTGGAGTAGGTGAAGTGAACTCTCTGCAAGTAAACAAATATTAAGAATTATTTGAGTGGTAAAACATATGGTTTACATCATAGAGAAGCAGGCAAAATGTAATTGTGTCAGTATATCATAAAAGAAGGAGGTAGACCAGAAAATTGAGCAAAGTCTGAGAAGAAAATGAAGGAACAAGTTACTGGAAATCAAAATTAATCATAGGGCAGATTTACAGATATTTATCCTTTCTATTGTGAGAATTTTTATTCAGTCGCAAACGACTGCTGTGAAAATTTGAAATGAGATCAATTTTTGTTGTTCTTTTAGGTTTTGATGATAGATATAGAACCCTTATTTTAAATAAAAGATTTTTGTATTTATAGCCCAGAATACAGATAATGAATTATTAGTTTGTAAAACAAAGGCTGTTTGCTTTAAAAATAATGAACTTTTGATCATCATATAAAAGTAAGTTCTACCCGTATGCCCTAAATTGGGGCAGGTCGGGGTAAATATTCCATATAAAAGTAAGGAAGATTGAAAAACGGAACTAACAATACACTAAAGGAATGAAAATTAAGCTTAAAAATTTGGTTTTCGATGATTATAGTTTCTAAGATAGGGAATATTGCTATAATCTCAATTACTTTTTTTCCCCCAGTTTACGGCTATTATTCACATAACACCAAAAAGTGCACCAATTTTTTGAAACTGAAATTGATACTTCGAATATTTGTGACAAGCATCCACTTCTTTATAAAACGTCCTATGTGAGAAAGTGACGACAACTTTAATCATATTTTATTTAAATATTAGTTTTACTTTTATTACAAAAGGCATACATCTTATACCTTTCGGCACTCAAGTCAAGTATAGATCGTGTGGGACAACAAACAACGCTCCTATTTTAACTTTGCAAAACGAACTTTCACCCACTTTAATCATGTGAAGTTTCTCGTTTCCGTATTCGTAAAATATGTTTGGTTATTCTTGCTCATTACTAGGAACAGCTTTTAAGTCTTTCTGAAATTAAAGATTTGCAATGGCTGTCAAAAGATGGCATCATGAACAACGAGAGGAGCTTTAGCATCATCAAAATCTTGAAATATACTTGTGAAGCATATTCGCTTGAAGCATACTGCTCGGGCCATTTCGGGGGCCCAGCTCTATTGTAATTTATTTAAGTAATCAATAACTTATAATTTATTGTATGATATCAATTTTATCTCTTCAATAAAGTTAAATCTTTTCAGATTCATAGCAAAAACTATGATAGTTCATGACAAAAATTAAGTGATACATCGAGTGATGTATCTTTTGATCATGTAAGAGCTGTTCTGATGAAGTTACTCTGGAGTCTGTACGAACTGTTCTCTTGACAACTCAAGACTTAATTAAAGTGGTCAGACATTAATAAAATAAACTGTAAAATGACAATACTTACTTCAAAGTTCTACTGCCCCTAGGATGTTCTGACTGTGAAGAAAAGGCACTGGTGACACTGTATTTGGAAACAGAACTGGTTTCGGATTCGTCACTTTCCAGAGCAGGTACCGTTGTTCCGTCTTTTTCTGTTGCGCCCGGTGTGGCTCGCACTTTACCGGTAGCTTCTGGAGGATGAGGAGATAACCGAGAATTTCTGGCTGGTGGATGAGGATGGACATTAAATTGTTTATCTAAACTATGGCGAGGAGAGACTTCGCTGTCTGAAACTATCATTGTTGACACACCTAAAATAATTTTACAAAGTTAAACATACCTAAAGAAGTTGTTTTTTTGTACATACGTGAGCAATAGGGAACTTCAATGTATTCACACATTACATAAAGTTGTAGCAACCTATTGCGAGTTATGTTTATAATGCTATCTGTAATCTTGTAGTATTTGATTGTCCTCAGAAGACAAACTATTGCTTGAATCAAGTACGGGTGCAAAAGCAGAACTTGAGAGAAAGTAACCCATATTTTCATTGTATCTACTTACCACTCACCAGTGTTTTTTTCCCTTCCCAAAATAATTTACAATAAATGTTATAGAAATCACAATTAACAAATTCTTAAATGTGGTCAATAGCATAATACATCAAGGCAGTCTTTCCCAAACTTATGATTTTTGAGTACCCTTTTTAATTTTTTCGTAACGCTGTGTACCACTAATAAAAAAATGAATGCATTTTTTTTAAAAATATATTTATTTTTCTCTTTTGATACTAAGTTTTGTTAATAAGTTTATTTGCATCAGTGAGAAGGATGATATTGTTTTTGCTGTGATAACAGTTGATGTGATAAAAAAAAAAAAATTGCACAAAAGGTAAAAATTACAACTGGCTGTTCGCGCCACTAATTATTGACTGTGAACTCTGCAAAAAATAGCCAACAGTAAGATACGTAATCGTAGATTTTCATAACTAGCTTTGTTCTAAAATAAAATGTTTTGAAATTTTTATTGTTGCAAGATATTTCGCATAAGAAAACGTACCCCCACTAAACTGTTCCCGTACCCTTGGGGGTACGCGTACCACACTTTGGGAAACATTGCACCAAGGAAAGGATATTTTTCTCAATTCACAACATGTGACTCAATTCAATTTACATCTCCTTAAGTGTAGAGGAACTTCTTGAACTTTTGGATCTATGTCCATTCTGAATTTCAAAGCATATATTTAAATAAAAGTAACACACTATGCTCCTTAGAAACGCTAGAAACTATACATGGTTGCAAATTAATATTTACTGAGTTCAATAAAAGCAAATAAAGGATTAAAATTATGTAACAGTCCTTAAAAAAATGAAATAAGTAGATTTCTAGTGAAAGCATTTCAGTTACATTTGACCAATAAGGTGACATTTGAGCACGATTTGTGATGATCTTAATTCTTACTGTGCTCTTTTTGAGCTTCATAATGGTTAGTCGGTTAGTCAGTTGTTATTAAATTTTTCCCCCACTTAAATTCGTGTAACATTTCGTAGGTTTTTTTGAAATTTCCTTCAGCATATTAAGGGTAATCGTTACAGAACACCCTATATAATTGATATAAAATATTTACCATCTGGTTTTCTTTGCATTTTTAATTTCATTTGTCTAGCTCTTTCTTCTAATTCCAGTGTCATTTGGTCTCTTGTAGCTCTCTTTGGTGGAATTTGTGGAAGTTGGCGTTTCTTTGGAGAAGAAGTACCAGATGGCTGTCTAGGAGTTGTTCCAACACTAGTTAAAAAATAGATATAGTTGAAATCCTTTAATAATTTAACCATAATCCTTATTATTATTAACAAATGCTAGAGTAAAATGATAAATATACCTTGCTTTCAAACTGATATTTTTAAGGATAAATTTCCTTACTCACAAAGTCTATAAAATATCATTTACTATTTTTGCATATTCTTAAGGTGGCTGTCTGAAGTATAGAAGTTCAATGCAATAACAAAATGAGCCTAATTTTTTAAAAATTTTCTTGTATTTTAACTGTTGTCAATACATCTGTTTTTGTTTGAGCAGGAAACGGGGGGGGGATATAAAGAAAATAACTCCTTAAACTTCATTTAGCTCTCACCGACAATTGTGCTTTTGTATTTAGTAATTGCAGCAATCCCTGTAATAGGATGTACTGTAGTACTTCAAGTAATCACTTGAAGAATTTTTAAGGGGTGCAAATGATTACTTAAATAAAAAAATTAAAAACTTCTTAAAAATCCTAAATCTAGATCCTTTACTACAAATGTCAGCTAAAAAAATTTAAAAGCTGCTATCTTAGAGAAATGAATCAAAAGGTGTCTTTATTATTTTATATTTATTAGAATAATTAGAAAGGATCAGACATATATATATATATATATATATATATATATATATATATATGGATNTATTATTGCTAATTAGTTTTTAACTACGTACGAAGCTAATTTTATTTAACTTAGATTTAGCTTTAATCTGAAGGCTGATTTAGTTCAAATTTTGAATTTCACTGCTAAATATTTCATTGAAATTAATCATGTTATTTACATATTTCATGTTAAGTGAAAGATTACAGATCTGTTTACAGCAAATAATATAAAAATATAAGGCAAGGCGATGTTTAGAACGATGCAGCCATATAAATTTAGCATCACTTTCTCCATTGTTTTGTAATTAATGGATATTTCGTTTTACGCAGATGGAAAAGGTATTAAATAGCTATAATACAAAAAAAAAAAGAATTTTTTTCTCAGTTTTGAAATCAAACTTTTATATTTTTTAGACCTACTGTCGCAGAAATTATTGATTTAATTTTTTTAAGGTGTTGAAAAAACAATATTATAATTAAATGAAGCAAAATCAACTAGTGCTCTTTGATATTCTGGGAAACATTTTCTAAGAAAAACGCTATTCAGAGAAAACTTTGACAAATTTTATCAAAGGAGAAGAAAGAAAATTACTTTTTAACATTTCGCTTTACTACTTGTAAATTAATGTTTACTACTCTTGAAACCATTATATTAACTAATTAGGTTTTTTAAATTGCGAATAATATTTACACCAATATATAAATTTAATATTTAAGACTTTTGACGCAAGCGATTTAAAGTGACATCTTATCCACGTTTTAAACCATCAAAAACAAACAAATGACAAAAAATTGCTCACAATGCTTTAAGCACTAAAAGCTTTTAGATATTTTTAATGCTTAGATATTTTTAATGCTTTAGATATTTTAAATGCTTTAATACACACTCTCAGCAAAAAAACCTGTTAGTTACTTTTAGCAAAATTTTGTCTATTCTAACACTAAAAAAGAAGGGCATTCAATCTTCGATTTAAAAAGGAAAAAATGATTGTTTTTCAAGAATGAGTTATCAAGATTTTTATCCAGCTAAAGAAAATACCTTTGATCAGGTGGAGAAGGTGGTCGGTGAACATTGGCTTCTATTACTCTTCTTGGAGGAGATCTAGATCTGGACATTGAACCATCGTCTGGAACAACAGACCGAGATCTAACTCTGCTAGACATTCTATATGGATAATCTAATCCTGAAACAGGTTCTCTTCTTTCAAATTTTTCATAAGAATACATATCTCTGGGATTTACTGGAATTAAAAATATTTATTACTTGAGCAGAAATAAAAATATAAATTTTGAAGTTTTGAATGATTGGCAGAAAATAATAGAAATGACGAAATAAAATTTTGACAAAATGACAGAAATAAAATTTTGCATGGACACAGTTTAGAGTACTAGGCATTGATCAGAGAGTATTAGATAAAATAAATTGTAGAGTCTTAGAAATTAAATGAGAGTAATGAATTTGTAGAGTAACGTAATTTACGTGTAGTGATTCATTTTTTTTTTAATTCTTGGAGTTCTAAATAGTTAAACAAATTTCAGTATAATTAAACTGTCTCTCAAAAAATAACTTTACAAAATTAACTTAAAGAAATTAATCATTATTTTAAAAAACATTTCTTAGATTAATTCTATTAAACAATGCTCTAATTGCTTATTTAATTAAATAAAAATCGCATGAATCTGATTCTGGAAAAGTTTCACCAGAAAATGTTAAGTTTTGTTCGCTTTTGCCAAATCGTCAATCAGAAAGTTCTGCTTAGGAAACCAATTATTTTTTCTCAAAAAAATGTCATAATTATTAACAAAATTCATCAAAAGATGGCGCTGTCAACTCATAAACACAGTAAAAATAACTGTTAAAAACATCCATCCTTTACATTACTATCATAGTGTAACAAGAGAGACAAAATTAGCAGAGGCTCGTGCGAATGTTTCTATTAAAACAGCCTAACATTCAACAAAAAAGCATTGTTTTGTTGCCTTTGTAGTCAACAGCGCCATCTGCTAATAATTCCAAAATTGGTTTGTTAATTAGTTTTAATCTTATTAATTCAATAATTTAATTAGATTACCTGTACTAGATCTTCTTCGATCATCCGGCCAGAGATCTCTTCGAGATCTTCTTTCTCCGGCTGTTATAATATCTTCACCTACAAGTGTTGGACTGCTTCCGACAGAACTTAAACTGCTTCCACCTATGTCGGGATACCTCGACGTTCGTTCTAAAAATATATAAAATTTCGATTATTAAATAGTACGAAATGTAAATAAATTCGGTATGAGGGAACGCTTTTATCATTACTACACTGTAAAAAATTCTGGATTAAATTTCGATACCGGCACTTAGGTTTACCGGCATCCATAAATTTCATTTTTATCTTAAAATATTATGGCGAAATTTTTACAGTAATATTAATTTAAGTAAAATGTTTTGAAGTTACTGAATGTTAATGAATGTTTGGAAGTTACTACGGTAAAAATTAGGGTAAATCAAACTTTTTTTTATTCCGCAAAGTGTTTCGGTAAAAATAGATTTTACGGTGGAAAGTACCGGCACTCAGGGTGCCTTACTTTTTTCCGGAATATGATACGGAATTTTTTACAGTGTACAGGGTGTTACAAAACTTATGGTTATGAAGTGTTTCATCAGAGTTAAGAACCGTAAACTTGTTTTAATAAAAACTAGATATTGTTTAACAGAATTTGTGAATCAATTAAATTTGTATATAACTAACAGAACAGAATTGTGTAGAACAACAGAATTTGTGTACAACTAAATCATTACTATTTTATAAAAAGGAGATAAGCTTAGAATTTTTTTAAAAATGGAAACAACATATTGTTAAAAAATGTATAAATTGTACAAATAAATCTTACCTATTCTAGTAAGAGGAAGTGTTTCATCATAGTCAAGCTCAGAAATATCACTGTCCGATAATCGGGATATGGAAATGGAAGAAGAAGGAGATAGTCGATCAACGGAATTTAAAGAGCCTGATAGCTCTGCTTCAAGAAACATACTGTTTCTTTGCTAGAATCAAAATTAAGTAGAAAGTTTAGAACAATTTACACTATTTTATTTAAGGTTACAAATTACTAAAAATGAATAAAAAAATTTACGTTTCTTTTAAAATAGTGAAACTCTGGATTATGAAATAATTTTTGTGGTTTTAAATAAATTCTATAATGTAAAAAAATCTGCTAAATTTACGGAAAAACTGTCAGCTGGTGTGCCAAGTAAAACCGTTTGTTTCACAGAAAAATGCTATTATTTAAAAACAGTCGTCTGTTTTTAAGCAGATAAGTACGGTTATTTTTTTTTAAGAAAAAAACTGTTATTTTAACAAAAAAAATCCATAAAATATTTATGCCGGCACTGTGAATGCAGCGAGCCGAGAGCAGATACACTGGGATTCGAACCAGAGTCATCTGATAACTAGGCGAGCGATCTGTTCCCCGAACCAACACTGCTTTAATATACCAGAATGAAGAAAAATCTTATACTGTTTTTATCTTAAAAGTCTTAAAGCAATATTATTTAAGAGTAGACATTTAAAATTATAGTCGCTCACTATAAAAAAATTTGGCATAAAAGTTTGTAAAAGTGGAAAAAAGATTGGCTACTAAACTTACCAAAAAATTATATTTGAAGAATTGTTATTATAAGGTATTAATTTAACTATATGAAGCCGAATCATAGTTTTGCTTATATGATGTTCAAAACTATAAAATAAATGCTGAAAAATAATAGCATATAAAGAAAATAATCGTAAGATTATTTTGAAAACGGTAAAGTTATCGTACGGTTAACAAAACTGCATCGTAAAAACTGGAATTTGACGCGAAGAATTTAATCCGTTTCTGGTTAGGATAAAAACAGAGCAAAACCGTTCTGTCAACTAAACAGCTTTAAGAAGTCAAATATGCAGTCTGCACAAAAGAATGAGAAATTTTGCAGTGTATATTGGTGGTATACTTAGCCCTTCAGCATTGTTTAAAGCACAACATAAATATTCCCCCACTGTAATATAGTTCGCATTATTATTGTTTATAGTCTTAATAAAAGAGGAGGCAAATAATAAATGTGAATTCTATTAATAAGAATAATAGTAATTATGAAGAATTTAATCAGAAGGAACATGAAAATCAGATAAATTTATGATATGAAAGAACTTTACATACATTACACATCTCAAAATAATATTTTAGCGATGAGAAAAGAAAACTTCATCAAAACCTGACAAATCTCTGACCAGAAAAGTGATATTAAAAACATTGAAACTTGTTTTATTTCTAGAGGAAATTTAGAAGAAATGGGAAGGATTTTTAGAAGCTACTTCAAGTTTCATCTGTGAGTCAAAATATTTTTGATATTTTTTATCTCATCTTCCTCATTGATGATTCGCCAGATTTTGATGCTGTCCCTGTTTTTGTCTCCTGCTGATTTTTTCTATTATTATTGATTAAATGCAAGTTTAAAATATTTTATGATCGCAGCCAGGTTTTCGCTTTCAAAACGGCCAGAAAATTCGAAAAGCATAAATTCTAAAATGAAATGCACTTTATTCGTTCACACAATATTTAAATTTTGTTTAGTGTATAGTGCGCAAAATAAAAAACGGGACACCTTAATAACTATTGTTCTTATGATTGGATCATGGTTCGAGGGCCTAACCCTGATAATGCTAATAATGAGGGCAGATGATATTTGAAAATACGAAATAAGATACAAAAACATACTTTTCCAGACTAAGAATAATATTTTTTTGACGAATTCAGATTTTTCATCAAAATATGGGGGAAAGGGGGTAGCCAAATTCTGAAAAATATGGTTTTAGGTCAGGTATTAATGCATTCTCTTTTTTTATTTTGCGCACTATACATATACATATACATCTTTTCAACTCTTGTACTAAATACAGAACATTTTCTGAATAAATGAATAGCGTTGGAAAATTGGACTTGCTCTATGCGTATTAATACTATGGTAATTTATTAAAATGAAAAAAAAACCAGAATGTGTTTCGCCTTTATTTTTTGCTCGCAAACTTTAAAATTGTAAAATTTTTAACACCTTAAAACTCATTTAAATAGTTCGCTTTACGCTATTGTTCGATCTTGGCGTCGTGAAGTAATGCCAAACGAAAGACATAGTTATAATCGTTTTTTTTTTTTTTTTTGATGATTTTCTTTGAGTTTCTTCTCTAAATTGATTCTATGTATTTCATGTTTTTTCCTGGACTTCTATACAAAACCTTCGGGGTTCTGAGGGAGTTACTTTAGGCATTTGCCTCTCCTTTAATAGAAAAAGGTTTTGTTTTATGGCTACCGGGGCCGGTACCCCCTGAAGACGTCGGCTTCGGAGGTCATATTTTTATTTTTATTTCCTTCGTTTCCTTTATTGCTACATTTATTCTTTTTTTTAAATTTCTGCTACTTTTAAACGCGTTTTTTTCAAAGAAGTTTTATATATTTAGAATTAAATTTTTTTTTTTGTTTTCTTTCAGTATTATAATCGTCAGCTTATAATTTTGTTTCAAATTTTTGCTATTGATCTCATGTTATTCAACTTCATATTGATACTCACTTTTTCAAACTTAGTTTGAAGATAATCCTTTTCTATATAATGTTAATATTTTATGTCTCTTCTGTCACCTGATTTCAACTAACTTATTCACATCGGGGATATATTCGTGTGAAGACGCAAAAAGTTTTGGGGTGCGAATTTACTGACCTCTACACGCAATCGTAAACCTTGTACTATGTATACAGGATGTTCCAGAAAAACGCTTTTTCGGAGTCTTTTTAGAATATTATTAGAAATGAAAAAAATAGTATTCATATTCATAGTAAATTAATATTTGAACGAGGAAAACACAAACACGCTATCGAAGTTTGATAAATTACAGAAAAGGAAAGGGGATGTGCAATAAAAATCAAAACAGATTTAATTAGAGTCTTTGTTTCCTCCCACAACTGAACCCGTCGTTTTGTTTATCACGAACGCCTTCCTGCACTGTGATTTGTCAGATTTCGATAGCTTTATTATTTTTTTCAGCCAGAAATATTAACTTACGACCCTCCAATGTGTATACTTTTTCTGTTTTCATTTTTGATATGGATTTTAACAATACATATTAAAGGATATCTTAGGAATGGTCTGTATATCTTTTATTTTAATTTATCATTATTATTCTGCTTATTTAATAACACATCAACCATAGATAAGAGCACAGTTTTCCGACTTGTCGTATCTGCTTCCCATGATTACCCTTTTCCTTACTTCCATTACTTACAAGGAAGGTACCAGAAGTGTCACTCACCAATAAAGCTTCTTTTTTTTATAGATAGCGTTTTAGTTTCTGAAATCATATATAAAACTTATTTTGTCAGTTTCGAAGTTTATCTAGTTATAAATTACTTTGAATACGTTGTTTAATTTAAGTTAAGTTTAAATTAAGCTACCTAAGTTTAAATCATTCCGCAGACAAAGAATATTGGTGGTGCTATAAAAGATTGCTTTAATTTAAGATTTCTCTCTTTGTCCTGTTAACTCAGAATTTCAATTACGAATATTTTTTATAGTCTTTTCATTATTTTGTATCAATTAATGTAGAAATAACTGAAAAATAATATATTTCGCATTTTTATAATTTATAGTTATGAATCAAGCATACAACGTTGTACAATTGGGCAACAATTTTGATATTCAATTGTACGTTGTTTTGATCAAATAAACTTTTACAATAATTTATATATTTGCAACCAATGCAAAATATACAAAATTTTTGATTTTCATTTTTTCATAACCAAAAAAATTTAACTGAAAAAAAATTCAGCTTGATTTGCGAGTGACACTTTGGGTACTTTCTCCGTTAATAAATACGCATCTTAGTCAACTACATTACCGATTTTTTAATCAACGATGAATCAGTTAGATATCGGGATATTGCATACACTGTAAGTTCGCGACTTTATTAAATATCACTAAACATTGGACAGGTTTATTAAATATCACTAAACATTGGTTGGAAACTATCAAAGTTTTCCAACATATATTTCTTAAACTCTCAATCTAAAAGCATTTATCTAACTCACTAATTGAGCTGCCAAACTCTCTTCCCGTGTTGTCATTCTGTACCATTCAGCTTCATTGTTTAAGCGTGCTGTTGCTAAATCTATTAATACCTGAAAATAAATGAAATATATTTTAAGAAATGTTATTTTTAAACTAAATTAAATTGTATAAATTGTAATCATTTTATGGTAAAATGTCATTTGCTAGTATTAATATTTTGTGTGGTCCTATAAAATATAAAAGAGCGGCAACAAAACGGAGCAGAATATTTGTATTCTACACTGTTAAAAAGTTTGAAGGAGCCATCTTTTAATTGACGCAATATTACTTAAGCAGTACAGTGCAGAATTTTGTTTTAGAAATCTTATAAAGGGTGCAAAATTAAAATCACGCCACGTCATGAATACACGTCGAACGCAATGCAAATGACTCTATTGTAAATTCTATGAAAAATTTAATGCCAAGATTTTTTTTAAACAATTATAACATATAAAAAGCACTGTTTGCTTTTTCTTTTTTTTTTCTTACCGAAGATAAATTTTATAGTGATAATAAAAAATTTGAAAATCGTAAGAGCTTCTTTTACTCCTCTCAAATACTAGATATAAATTAAATGGCTCTGGTATCATTTTTTTCCATCTAGCTTTCAGCTGTATTACAGATGCATCAAAAGCGAGGAAAAGATTCTGATTCTTACATTCAATTAGTGAACATCTAGGACTCTGTATTTGCCCATTTAATTGCTTACGCAATTTTAATTGCCTACGCAAATCAACACCGACCGTCCAAGTCAGGGATTATAAATGTGATTGGTTTCAGGTTACGAGCCATCTTGTGCCACGCAGTGTTAAATACATAGTAATTTTATTGGTTATACAAAGGAAATATACAACTAAATATTATTTTTACTGCATTTTATTGAAATTTCGAGTTCTGATTGTCAATGTTAATTTTTTTTTACACGACTACTATACGCGTAATATGCACCGCAATAAAGATTTGGACATACGTATACACGTTAAATGCGCTTAACTGATTAATCCTATCATCTAGTATACTTTTTATCTTGATTACATGATACCATGGTTCAATTGAAAACTTTATTAAATTTGTCGCAAAAAATTTATGCTATATATATATATATATAGCATAAATGTGCTATATATATATATATATAGCACACACACACACACACACATATATATATATATATATACTGTCTATTTGTGACATCCTACGAAATTCTTTCTTCTGACACTTTACGGATATGACTGTTCCAGGAGTGTTCGGAATGTTTTGGGATGTCTTTAGGACGAAATTTGCTGTATGG